TATATTTACACATACATATGCAAATTTTAAAAGTAAATTTATACTACTGCCTTGCATTGTATATCCCCACAGAATTCATTTTTGTCTTTCTCCATTCCATGTTTATATGTCTCTCCATCCCAAGTCCTGGCTTCAAAATAACCTCAAGATATTTACTCAACATACAAGTGAGCCAGAGTTGCTTTGTCCACATCACTATAAAAATAAACTACAGTAGAAAGAGTTCAGGATTTGTTTGCAATCCCTCCCTCTTACCTACACCCAAGATGAGGGTAAATAGTCAAATTCTGTGTAAGTTACTTAGATTTACTCTTCTTCAACACAGGCACAGTACCAAATTAAATGCAATCTGGTTCATTTGTTTCAGATTTTGCCCATTCCCATCATTATTCTGAACATGGAATATAACATACTTTGAAAAGTCTAAACTATAGAAAAAGGTATACTTTCAGAAGTCTCATTCCCTCCTATAAACCTTTGGTTCCATTACCTCCCATCATTTCTTCTTTTTGTAAAGTTAAGCAGGTACATATATGTTTTATTCCTCCCCTTCTCTTTTTACACATAACTTAGCACACTGTATCTGCATGTTACACACACCAGCTCAATCCAGACTGGAGGAAACTCTTCCCAAAGCATTATCTTATACCCAAACCAGACAAAGACAATAAGAGAAAAAACAAGAAATCCAATATTCTTTGTGAACACAGATACAAATATTTTAAACAAAATATTAGCCAGCCAAATTTGCAATATATAAAAGAGATATTACATCATGACCAAGTGGAGTTTATTCTGGAAATACAAGGCTGCCTCAATATTTGAAAAATTGATCAATATAATTCACCATTCACTAGGAAAAAAAAAAAAGCTATGATAATCTAAACAGATATAAAAAAAAGTACTTGACAAATTTAACACCTATTCTAGTAAATTCCCTGAAGATAAATCTGACCTGCACATACTAAAAATTAAAAAATGTCTTGATACTCCTAGTTATAAGCTCTTCCTAGCATTGGGTCCCTATCAGATGCCCAGATATGAGAACTAAAATTAGCAAGTGAGAGAATAACATGTTAAATGCCTCCCTCCTGCAATTCTGCATTGCAATCTGACCCCTGAGTTATAGACATCTCAGATTAAGATATACTTTTTGTTAATTACAAAGTAACTTTTATTAAATTGTTTAGGTTTATAGGAAAAGCAGAGTTTCAACCTAAAGGTAGTTACATGAAAAACTAACACAAGCAATGACTTTCAATAAGCATCTAACTGTTAAATACATATGCTCAAAACATAAAAATAAAAACCACTACGTTTTTGTTGACAGCCCAGATAGCTTTATATAAATATTGCTTATTAGTCCTTAATCATTCAAAAACTATCTCTCCTAATTTTACAAGAAGCAAAAATCATATGCTGGCCTTTGGCATATTAATGAAAGTACTTAGTACAAAATATTTTTTAATCTTTATTAAAATTTTTTAAAATATATTTTTATTCCTTTCAGAGATAGGAAGGGAGAGGGAGAGAAACATCAATGATGAGAGAGAATCATTGATCGGCTGCCTCCTACACACCCCCTACTTGGGATTGTGCCTGCAACCTGGGCCCTGACCAGGAATAAAACCATGACCTCCTGGCTTATAGGTCGATGCTCAATCACGGAACAATACTAGCCAGGCATACTATAAAATACTAATGGCCCAGTGCACAAAATTCATGCATATTAAAATGGGGATCCAGAGACAAGTCCCTGCCCACCCACATGCACCTCAAAATCATCCGAGACCCAGACCCAGCTGCCCAGGACACCCCCCCCCCCCCCCCATTGAGCTAGATCCAGATCTGGCCAGACCTACACTTATCAAGCCCCGCCAAGCAGGGGGCTCAGCCTCAGGTCCCCTGGCCTGATGCCAGGATGAGGGGGCGTGGCCTGGGGTGCCCCAGATGGGGTGGGGGGCGTGCCCTGAGGTCCCCCGTCAAGCCCCGCCAGGTGGTGGGGGAGGGGAATGCGCAGCCTCAGGTCCCCCAGCCCGGCACTGAGATGGGGCACAACCTCAGGTCCCCGGGCCGGTGCTGGGCAGGGGATGCGGCCTGAGGTCCCCTGTCAAGCCCCATGGGGGCAGGGGATGACACAGCCCCAGGTCTCTGCCGATTGCTTGTTAATGCTCCTTAAGGGAACTTGGCCTCAGCTGTGGGTGCAGCCATCTTTGTGACAGAGAGATCGTCAATTAGCATATCCCCTCTTTATTAGATAGGATTAAACAGAACATATTTTTTGAAGTCAAACAATAAAAGTTGTTCTGCATCATAATACCAATTCTTATTTTCCTTTAACTCATGCTCCAAAAATAATCATAGTTTACAGTCTGGTATGTACCTTTTCAGACATTTGCTATGCTGAATATATACGTGTGTGTGTGTGCATGTGTGTATACACATACATATATGCATGCCTTCACAAACACAGTGTATGTAACATTTTAAAATTCTATAAACCAAGATTTTAACAATATTTCAATGGGGCCTTTATAGTTGAGGAACTATAAAACATGAAAAAAAAAAAAAAAAAAAAAGAAAGAAAAAAAGAAAAAAAGAGCCAAGCCCAGACAGTGTGGCTAAGTGGTTGAGCATTGAACCAGGAAACAAGAGGTCACCAGTTCAATACCCAATCAGGGCACATGCCTGGGTTGCACACTCAATCCCTAGTAGGGGGTATGCAGGAGGCAGACATTAATGATGTTTCTTACTTATCAATGTTTCTGTCTATCCCTCTCCCTTCTTCTCTCTAAAAATCATTAAAAAATATTCTTAAAAAAAAGAAAAAAAACTGAGTCAAATAAGTTAAAATTTAAAATATAGTTGTTTAATGTGGCTTAAAATCTTGCTCAAGTTTTGGGAATTTATAGAATATATTATTACTTCTGTGGCAGACACATGTTGGAGTGGCTAGAGAGCCCACAATCCTTCCCTTTTTGGTGCCATCAGATCAAAGGATAAGTTACAGGGAGATTTATGGAATGGCTATTTGAATGAATCACAACTTGACAATAACCTAAAATTCCATTCTCAGGTGTTTCCAGAATCCTCCAATGCCAAAGTAAACAAGCCAAAATATAAAGCCTCCTAATGACCGGGTGGATAAGGTGACCCACATTGCCAATCAAGTCAGACTCCTTCTCCAGCCAACCTGGTCTTGCTCAGTAGGTTCATGACAACAGCCAGGTGGCAGGAGAAGCAGTTATGTAAGGGATCAACTGAATGGACTCACTAAGACTGACTTCACTGACACTACTGTTGAGAACACATTTGCCTGAGTCCCTATTAAGCACTACCTCCTGACAAAACACATCAAGCCCTCAGCATCACAGAAATGGTGATGGCTGGTCCTCACTACATGAGACAGGAGTTCTGAATTTGCCTCTGCCAGCATCGCTATGCAAGGTTAATTTGGCGTGCTGTCCTGCAGGATATAAATTAGGTCCTGAGCACTAACTAACACACGATGTCTCCCATTCCAGAATACACTGGATGCAGAAACCAAACAATGATAGCGTTTTGTTTCTTATCTCAATAATTCTTCTTGTCTCAAGAACTCTGGAATCTGTTGAGCTAGAAGTTTTCATTCCCAAGGAAAAAAAATATTTATACCAGGAGACAAAAGAAGTGTTTCATTCTACTGAAAGCTGAACTTACAGTGTTCAGGTTTATTTCCTCACAACAGTAGAAAGACCATCATAACCCCATCCAGTTGGACCTACCAGGATCTCAGCCCCTTTCAAGAAGGAAAGACTGGCTCACAATAGAACCTGACAAGCCAATATACTTGATAAGCAGAAGGTAACAGAAACATGAAATCTGATGCAAAACTAAGGACTGCAGCCACATTTATTTTCTTACTAGTCATCTATATCTATATATAACCCTAATATGCAAATAGATCGAATGGCTGAACAACCAAACAACCAGTTGCTATGATGTGCGCTGACCACCAGGGGGTGCGTGTGGAACAGGGCAGATGTCAGTAGCAGGTGGCAGAGTGTGGAACATGGTGGACGTCGGCCGCGGAGGGATGGTGGAGCAGGTGAGTGGGGGGCACCAGACCAAGGTGGGGTGCCAGTCACTGTCATAGGAGCAAGCCTCTGGTGGTTACTGAAAATTCTTTGCTCCCACATGCTGTGGTCCAGCCCAGCGCTCATACCTGCTGCCAGCACCGGACCTGCTCGCACTGCTGTTGGCATCCAGTGCTGGTCCCAATCATTCAGCGCCGTCAGTGGGTGCGAGCAGTGGCTGCCAGCCCCAATTGCCCCTCAGGGCTTCTCCACCCCCCACCCTCCTGCTCCAAAGGGACAATCGGGGCTGGAAGCCACCTCTGGCACCTGCTGCTGGCGACGGCACCATTCGCACCCACTGCTGGCACTGGTCCCATTTGCACTCACAGCCCGCGCGAAGCCAGGGCTCACACCCACTGCAGGCCCAAATCGCTCTGCGTTGTCAGCAGGTGCAAGTGGTGGCTGCCAGCTCCGGTTACCCCTGAGGGCTTCTCCACATCCCTGTGTTCCTGAGGGGCAATCGGGGCAGCAGCCACTTGCACCCACTGATGGCACCAGCCTTGCTCACACCTGTTGCTGAAGCTGGCCCCAATCGCTCCACGCTGTCAGTGGGTGCAAGCAAGGCCAGCGCCGTCCACACGTGGGAGCAGTAGAGGGAGTAGATGCCAGGAGACAGAGGACTGGGGGATGGAGCTGGAGGGGCTGGGAAGAGACACAGATGATGAGCCAAGACCCACCCCTGTGCCCACCGTGGCCTCATGGCTCACAGTTCCTTTCAAGGTGCATGAATTAGTACAATGGATCCCTAGTGTATGATAATTACCCCATCTCTCTCATTAAATACATTTTATCTCCTTTCCCCCATCATGCAGGTGGCAAGTTAGCAGAAATTAAATTTAGGTTGTGAAAGAAAGAGTCACAGTGGAATGAAGAGCAGCACATTACCCAGAATCAGTAGCCCTACGGCACTGCCTCTTGATGTGGTTCCTCAGCTTATATTTAGATTTTTCTCCCACTAGAAAAAGTGGGATAGCAGGGTTAACTCTACCTTTATGTAAGTGGGGAGAAAAATGGGGGCAAGAGAAAAGGTAAAGGGAGTGGTTAAATTACCAAAGAGTAGGATAGCTGAACACCTCCCAGGAGGGCTACGGAGCTTTGATCTCCTCTCCTTCGGGGATGGACCCCAGCACTCAGTATTAGATGCCTAGAGCTAGGCACCAAAAAATGTTAATATGACTTCTAGGAAGTAAAAGAGGTGTGGAAAGTTCTCGTTTTAATGTCAAATTATCATATTCAGTAATTTTTTTGGTGCTTCCTCTTACCCCACTCAAAAACTAAATGCCTAACATAGTCTGCTTTTGCCTTCAGAATTGTGACATTAGAATCCTCATGCCTAACATGCTTTTTCACATCCTCCTATTTTGCAAGAAAGCACATTTACTCCAAAGCTTCAGTTTGTTCATTTTAGCAGCAGCTCAGCAGCAGTTTCCTGTTAAGATGTTACAATGAAGCATCAGCAATTCTCTAATCTCGTGATGCCACACTAGTGCATAGAGCAAACTAAATGATTACTGATTAACAATGGCAATGAATTCTTTTCCTTAAAAGATACTTAATAGCATATAAAAGAATGTCAAGCTCCCTGGGCCCTGCTTTCTCTGTCACTTAAGTCCTGGGTCACCAAAACAGATTTGTGACGAGAGATACTTAAGCAGTGTCAGCCCCCATCTTTGATTCCAGATCAAGTTATCATTAACATTAATTCACCCAGCCTCTATAGCCCAGATTAGAGGACTAGGGATCCAAGCTTGTTCTGATACCCACTCTATTCTACTCATACCCTTTCTGCTGTTCTAGCCTTTTTTTATGTCTCAGTAATTATAATAGGGTTCTATTTTAAACACTTTTGGAGGTTCCTAATCTGGTCCCTGCTTTGTCTCAGCCTAGGACTGGGATGCTTGTTTTTGATTACCAGTCCCAATCCCAAAGACTGGGAACAGGACATTATCTAGAGCCCAGTAAGCCAATAGCCACAAACAATTGTCTGGAGGCCATTCTCATTCTCTCTCCCTCAAGATTCCACATGTTTCTTTACCTTGAATTCTCATTAACAACAGGTTGTGGATGGCTCTCTGGCTATTCTACTCTCGGCATGGCCTACCGAAGAGAACCTTTCCTTAGCACCTGTAGCTTAGGTACAATTGGCTCTAACACGCAGCACTATTTCTACAATAAGTATGAGCTCATTCTAGTCCATCCCAAATGATGACAACCTCTGCCCTACTCTTAAGCTTCACCATACTCTGGCATATCACAAATACCACAAAATCCTATCAGTTCTTGAGATATGGTAAAAATAAACAAACTTACAAAATTTTAAAACAAAGGAATTAAACAGGTAAACAAAAGAATATTTTCTGAATGGTATGAACTGGAAACTTTGTAATAATAAACATAGTATTCCCAGGTATTTATATGACAAATCTTTAAAACCAGGTAATCTTTTAAAGTAGAACAAAAGATAATGGCTACATTATATTCTGTAAATATATTATAGTATATAGAAAGAACCACTTAATTCCAAAGAATTCTGGCTGTAATTTCTCAACACAAAACAAAAGGTACATCAGACCAATAAAACAATGTCTATACCTAGTCATATAAAATTAGCATCTGGGTTGTTGTTTTTTATAATCCTAAATTAGCATATTTTCCCACTGATTTTTACAGAGTAGAAGGGACAGGAAGAGACAGAAAGAGAGAAACATCAATGTGAGAGTTATAGATTGGTTGCCTTCCACAGAAGCCCCGACCAAGGCCAGGGATCAAACCTGCAACCTAGGCCGTGCCCCTCACGTTGACCTGGACTGGAATCAAACCTGGGACCTTTCAGTAAGCAGGCCAATACTCTATCCACTGTTCCAAGCCAGTTAGCACAAATTAGCATCTCTTTTGATCAACGCTGATTTTTTCTTTATGAAACTTAAATTTCTAATTCCACGTAGTGCCAAAAAATAGGATTCCCATTACTTTCTCCAAAATCTAGCTTTGTTATTAACACTACACCCTTATAAAAGTTGTCCCTTTGCTGAATTTCTCAACCCTTATTCCTAAAGATCAAGCCACCAATGGGATCATCATGAATATAAGGAAAAACTGCAGAAGAAGCTCAAGATTATAGGGAAAAGGTGTGTGTATTTACCTTGGACTCCTTATATGCCAAGAGAGCTGCAATAAGAATAATTACAATGGATAATAAGAAACTCCAAATACTGGGGCTAAGGAGGAAAGCCAATGAAACCTCAAACAGGTATTAGTACATTATTTAATAACTAGTGGCCCCATGCACAAAATCCGTGTACATTTGGAGGGGATTAGAGGAAATAAATTAATATTGCTATTTGCCCTTTCTCTATAATAGAAGTGTCAGAGATGAAAGAAAATTAGTAAAATGTATATGAAAATCTCCCTCCTGTTAGAGTCTGGGGCACACTATGGGACTCAGAGTCAAGTTCCTGCCCACCTACATGCACCTCAAAATCGCATGAGACCCAGACCCAGCCAGCCCCCGACCACCATTGGGCTAGTCCCACCCTTGTCAAGCCCCGCAGGGCAGGGGGCAGAGCCTGAGGTCCCCCAGCCCAGACTGGGGTGGAGGACGTGCCTTGAGGTCCCCCATCAAGCCCCAGTGAGTGGGTAGCATGATCTGAGGTCCCCTGTCAAGCCTCACCAGGCAGGGGAGTGCAGCCTCAGGTCCCCTGGCCAGGTGCTGGGGCTGGGGGCGCAGTCTGAGGTACCCCAGCCTGGTGCCCCAGTCGGGGGCACGGCCTGAATACCCCACAGCCCAGCACCAGGACAGGAAGTGAACCTTGAGGTCCCCCATCAAGCCTTAGGGCAGGGGGCATGACCTGAGGTCTCCTGGCCTGGCGCCAGGGCTGGGGGGTGAGGCCTGAGGTCCCCTCTCAAGCCTTGCTGGTTGGAGGATATAGCCTGAGGTCCTCTGTCAAGCCCTGCCAGGTGGGGGATGTGGCCTGAGGTCCCCTGTTAAACCCTATGGGGGCGGGGGAGGGTATAGCCTTCGGTCTCTGCTGACTGCTCATTAAGACTCCTTATGGGAACTTGGCTTCAGCTGTGGGTACAGCCATTTTTGTGATGGAGTGATGGTCAATTAGTATATTTCTTCTTTATTAGATAGAATTATGTGTTCATAAGTTAAAGTAGTTTACTAGCTCTTTAAGAGGATTAGTATCTTATTATCTTAATATTTGAACACACAAAATTACAGCTAATAAAGTCCTGTTGAATGAAAAAAAAAACAACAAAATGAAAAAAAAAATTTAGATGACTAGTAAAGAGAGAGTGTCAACTGTACTCAGCTGACACTGCAATAGTCACCTTGGAATGTCAACTGCCAGGTAGGACCTTACTCAAAGAAAACCAAGTGTGATGTGAGTTCCAAGCCTCTTTTTCCCAAAGATATCTCTCTACCGAATAATAAGCATGATGCAAAATGCATCTCACATCCTGGACTAATTTCATTTGCTCTGATCTTTTCACCAGGGAATTATTTTCCTCTATTCTGATTTTATATTACAGCCCTTTCCTTAATCTAACATTGCATTTAATATTTAAATTTTAAAAATCCATTTCATCTGAACAGGTTTGGCTCAGTGTATAGAGCGTTGGCCTGTGGACTGAAGGGTCCCAGGTTCAATTCTGGTCAAGGGCATGTACCTTGGTTGCGGGCACATCCCCAATAGGGGGTGTGCAGGAGGTAGCTGATCGATATTTCTCTGTCTCTCTCCCTTCTTCTCTGGTAGCTGATCGATATTTCTCTATCTCCCTTTCTCTGTAAAAAATCAATAAAATATATATTTTTAAAAATCCATTTCACTGCTTGTTTTGGTAGGACTTTTCTATTTCAGGTATCTGGGAATGAGTTACTATCTCTTTTATTTAGCTTAAAATTACTGTTCATAGAGATGTTATAGTGAGTTGAATAGATTGGGTAGGAAAAAATAATGAAATTTTGTTTTAACGCCAATAAGCCATGGCATTCTTTACTAAGTAGTCATTTTGTCATCTTTAAAGTTTTTTTTTTAATTGTTTTATTGACTTTTAAAGAGAGGAATGGGGAAAGAGAAACATCAGTGAGAGAAACATCCATCAGCTGCCTCCCTCACTCCCCCTACTGAGGATTGAGTCAACAACCTGAGTATGTGCCGTGACCGGGAATTGAACCAGCAACCTCCCAGTGCAGGGGATGGCACTCAACAGAGCCACTCCATTCAGGGCTTCAAGGTGCTTTTTTAAATTGATCTCTTAATGATAATAGATGATGAAATGCAAAAATCTAACTCAAAACCTGTACATAGTACTTACCTCTGCTATTTAGATGAGACAAAAAAAATTTAAGATACTAAAATCAATATAGCCAACATGCTATGTAAGAGCATTTCGAAACTCTTAACAAAACTGAAGAAAGCACACACAGATGTGATTATTATCTATAAGCTTAACAACACCAAAGTAACAATTAGGTACAGGAATGCAACCAATCTCCTTCCACTAAAATAGAGCTTGCTGAACAGAACCTCTCTGAACTGGAATGACACTTTGTCAGATGACATTAGGATATGCAAAGCAACCATTCAACTCTGCACTACAGTGGCTGTCAACAAGCACAGTAGAAGGAAAAAAAAAAAAAAGGCTAGAATATGAGGATCATTTTAAAGATCTTTCAACACTGGCACACACAATAGTAAAAAAGTGGCCCATTTTTTATGAAAGTAATTAGGCCGAGAAAATTCAAAGTGCATGAAAATTCATAGAGACAAAGAAAGAATACACTTTTAAAAAAATAAGTGCACTTCTCCACACCATGAATAGAGATCACTAGCATAGTCCTCACAGAAAGGCTATTATTCTGCACATTTCCCCTGCTCTGACCCAGCCACACGAGTGCATGTCTGGGGTAATGGTGGCCTTTCCAGCAGCTGCCATGTCTCGTCGAGCTTCCCATCACCTCCTGAAAGAATAAACACCTATGCCCATCCATGTGGCAGTTATGCAACCTAACACAGGCTGGGAATCACTGAAGGCATTTTACTCTGGTGACTCAGATTTACATCTAGGTCTCTGTGGAAAAGGAGATGGAGAGCACAAACGCATGTCATAATACCATTTTTCATTAATATTTATCGTATAACTAAAGTAAATTCAAAATTTTCTGCTCTTTATATAGGTTTGACAAATAAAGTAGCTTTCAAAAATGCCTCAGGTTTGACTAGGTCCAGGTCAGCCTCTGATAGACTGACCCGAGGCAGAAGGATTCCCCTTTACAGAGAACTCATTTCCACTCCCCTCCATCCCCCCTTTCTTCCCATCGTGATGTCATTCACCCACATTGTCCTTTCCCCTTTCCCCAGACTCTTCTTTAAGCCCACCCCCGATAGCCATTTCCTTGTGAAATGCTGAATTTCACAAAGCCAAGATAACTTTTTCAGGCTATTAAAATAATAGAAATACTTTAAACATCAGAACTTCAGAAATAATAAAGCAACAATAAAGCAACAGTTTTCCTCTTGACCACAGAGATAACTCATTTAACTTAGCAAATGAAGTGAAATATATAAAGCACATCTGTCATTGTTCCAACAGATCAAATTATCTCTTTTAAAAAATATGCTAAAAAAAAAGTCGTAGTTAGTTCAATTTTCATGGTGGCCTAGTTGTAAAATGCTTCAGAAGCACTAGTAAGGTTTTCATGTTAAAAATATGGTCTTTTCTAAGTATTTTACTTTATTATTTAAACAATAAATTCAGACAAATTTTTTTCCATCTGATTAATTGCTGGTGAAATCTACTGATTTTATAATTTTTTATAATTCTGATATAAGTCAATTTTGGTTTTCACCAAGAAAATTCTATCAATCCCCGATATATTCATATCAAACATATTAGGCTTCCCTAATAATTTCAACTAAAAGTAATCTTTTTACTTACTATAAGTATCCATAGAACTTTGATACCTTTCAGACAGACTATTCACATACTGTTCAACTATTTATTCATCTATCTTATCTCCACTATATTATAAAATTATTGAGAGAATTATCCATGTAGCTCCCATAGTACCTAGTGCAGAAAAACAATAAACTATTTCATAACTATTTAGGAAACATTTTTTAGAATTATTATTACACATTATACCATCATTGGAGAGTCTATTTACAGTGTATGGTCATTTTGGTTAATAAGAACTAGGCTCCAAGAGCAAGTTAAATCCCTTATACTTGATCTAATTTAGTCACTAATAATTAAATAAATAAATCAGGTGAAATAAAGTTATTAGGCAATCAATACACAATGATTTTTCTAAAAATAACTGACATACAGTTTAATTTCATACTTGTTCACTTAACTATGGCATTTATCATATGAATCAGCAAGCACTGTGTTTTAATGAGCAGTATGCCATAAGGAAAGAACTTGGACTTCAGTATCAGAAAGACCCAGTCTTTAAACAAAGAAATTTGATTACATTTACTAACAGTTTCCTAGGATGAAGAAAATAAAGAAACATAATAAAACATGTATTACCATTCTCACTTGATAATGAGTAGTTTTAGAATTCCTAGGAGTGACAGTAAACATTTATTTTCTTAAGACTTACATAATTTTCTGACAACATGCTTATTACTTACGTACATTCACTAACTCAATGTTTACTGAAGGCCAACTACATGCCTATGTCTATGTGTTAGAGAATAAAATCTGTTGAAATACATTATAAAATATGTGGTAATGTCCTACAGCTGTTTATTCAGCTACACTATACTTTTCCAAAATAGTTAACACAGTGATAACAGGTACTAAGTATGTATCTCTTGACTAACTGGCCAATATTTATTTCTTTAGACTCTGTTATATGCAAGAATAAAAGTTCCTGAGTGATTAAATTAAGTCCAGCAAAGAGGAATTAAGAAGAATGCCATGTAACTGAAATTTTACATGACCATATCTAAGGCTGTGAATAAACTACCTGGTAGAAAATAATCAGCCATTTGCCTAGTTACCTGTCACCCTATTTATAGGAAGTTCAGGGAAGAGACATAGCGTTGGTGTTTTTCCTACGGAACCAAGGCAGAGAATCTGAATTTGTACATGCTAACCTCTTCACCTCTGAGAATAAAAATATCAACAACATTCTTGTATTTGCCAGCATTTTTCAAAATGAGCAAGATCATTATGCTTTTAGCAATGAAATACAAGTCACTATTGTAGCACAGTTATGTAAGATGTTACTACTGAGCAAATGGTGATGGGTAAAGTTTATATGGAACTCTATGGTAATTTTCACAATTTCCCGAGATTATAATCACTTCAAAATTTAAAAGTATATCAATAAGGTAATGTAGTTTGAATAAACGTTAGAGAAATTAAAACAAGTTGCTTTTCTAAAGACAAACACTTAAAAATGTACTAAGAGATTTGGATGTTATAAGAAAGAATACGTAGGGGATTCTTTTTAAAGTATTAAGTCCTATCTATCTATATAAAAGGCTAATTTGCGAAGTGTCCTTCCCTCCACCAAATAATGACGTCTTGTAGCAACGCTGGCTTCCTCTCCCAGCTTCCTCTCCCTAGTGACGACTAGCCTCCTTGCAGTTCTTCGGCCCAAGAACTGACTTTCTTTATAGCCGGGTGCAAACACTGTAACCAAATGTCTGTGAAGTGTTTTCCCTGCCTCATCTCATTTGATCCTCACAGAAGTCCTGGAGTAGGTAGATAGGAGACTCGGTGGAATCCTATTTTCTTTTCATTAGCCAAAAAATGGAGATTTAGAAAGCTTAGAAATTTGACCCTACTGAAAAGAAGTTAAGAAATGGTGAACCCTGAAAATGACTTCAGGTTTTCTCACTGTGCAGAATATTGTCAAACACTGCTGCAGCCCTAGCCGGTTTGGCTCAGTTAATAGAGCGTTGGCCTGTAGACCGAAGGGTCCTGGGCACATGCCTGGTTGTGGGCTCGATCCCCAGTAGGGGGCATGCAGGAGGCAGCTGATCAATGATTCTCATTATTGATGTTTCTATCTCTCCCTCTTCCTTCCTCTCTGAAATCAATAAATACATTTTTTTTAAAAAAACATACTGCTGCAATATTTTAACCATTGTTCTCCCTGCATGATCTATAATAATAATCTGCTTTTTGTGTTGATATTTACTGCTGTGTTGCTGACAACTACCTGAAAGAGAAGTTGGGGAGCTTCATTGGGCTGAAAAAAGTTTAGCTACATCAGAAAGCAGGTCTAATTAAGCAAGTTTATTCTATACCTAGAAAAAGCTAAGTTGTCTCGCACATGTGTGATACATATAAAAGCTCTGGCTGGCACCAACTGCACATGTGTGTTTCCATCTGTCATTGTTGATCATGAATTTGGTTGACACTTCTATTATAAAGAAAGGGTGAACAGAGATATTAAAATATTTCTTCTAATTAATTTCCTCTCAATGTGCATGAATTTGTGCACTGAGGCACTAGTATATAATAGTTAATCACCTCCTAAGTTATAGAATTTATAAAGAATAACTTAGGATGCTTTACTTATAGCATAAGACAATAAACAAGATTCTCTGCAGATAAATTACTTGGCTTCCCCCCCCTGCCCCCCCCCCCCCTGCAAAAAAAAGGAAATAGCAGATAATACAAAATCACTTGGCATGACTTTTTAATATCAGATAATGGCTATGTAACAGATTTCTATTTTTCTTAGGCTAATATTAAATTAATGGGCCTCCTTTAAATCCATACTGGCTAAAGAACAGAATAAAACAAAATAGGAAGAAATATTATACAGGAAGAGGAAGCTGGGCCTGATACTTTAAAATGGAGCAGATTCATCGTGTTGAAAGCATTCTTATTATACATGTCAAAAAAATCACCCTGTATCCCTCTCACAACATAAGTGCTAAGGGCTTAAGAAACTGGGACAAATTAAAAGAATCAGTGTGTTAGAAAGCAATTATCACTCTTATCTAAGGAACTTGGTGTGGAAAGGACTGCCAACAGATGAAGAATCAGAGGCCAGATAGGATAGGCGACCTGCTCAAAGTAACAAAGCTCTCTTGCAGCAGGGGTACAATAAGAAATCAACTCCCTTCTTCACTTCCTCCCTCTTGTTAATCCTCACCTGAGGACATTTCCCCATTGATTTTTTTAGAAGGGGGTTGGGGAGGAGAGACAGAGAGAAAAATCAATGTAAGAGAGACACATAGATTGGTTGCCTCCCACACAAGTCCCAACCAGGGCCTGGGATGTAGCCTGCAACCAAGGTATGTGCCCTAGACTGGAATTGAACCAGGGACCCTTCAGTCCTTGGGGCAGTGCTCTAACCATTGAGCACCAGCTAGGGCAAGATTTCAAATCTCTTAATTTCCGGGTCTCTGGAAGTGAAAGTATAAATATGTACTTGTCTTTTATAAGCAGAACTAATGAATACCTTTAAGAAATTAGGCCATACATTAAAAAAAAATTGTACTTCGTTGTATTTTTTTCCCATTCAATGGTCTTCTAAACCCAAAAATACTATTACAGTAGTATTTTAAGTCCCTGTGGCTTCACATAGATCTAGCTGATTTAAAGTTACTGATCTAAGCAACCTCACTAAAATGCATGATGACAGTAGCTCTCTATGTAGGGACTCAAGTTTCCTCAAAATTTAACAGTATCTGCTACTGGGTTAGTATACGATAGAAGAGTGGTCATGGTACACTCTTACTAGTAAATCTCAAACTTATTCAAGTAATGGAGCACCTGATCCCCACTGTGCTCTTTTGTGGAATAACACAAAGCAATGATATATTAAACTTAAAATAACTAGGTGCACTAACATTATGCCATGTCATAGACTAATATACTATACACATATAGAAAGACAAAAAAAATTTTTTTAATTTATAGGAGAAAAACTTAAACCTAAGTCATTAATAATTGTCCTTGACTGAAGAAACTGATGTGAAAATTTAATAGTAAGACCATTCCAACAGGGAAACGAAATCAAGGCCCTACTTATACATAACCATTAAAACAGCAGTAACAACAACATCCAAAACAAAGCAAAAAAAACAACAGTGTAATTGGTCAAAACACAAATAGTATTCATATTAAGTGGGCCAGGATACACAAGTATTTCATATACTAAAAACACTACTACAGGGCACATCATCACGAAGCTTGTCACAATGGATTACAACATTATGGAAGATCAATAACCCAATATTTGTTGTGTATTATACCCAAGCACATAATAATTTCTGGCTAACCAACAATGGAGGGAAATGACTCATAATACCTACAGATATTATTTTAAATATTTTGGCTCAAGTCTTACAGCTTATGCAGATACAATATTTAGGGTATCCGCTACAGGCTCAAAGCCATGCAGGTAGTGAGGGGTCAGACAAGACACGGAAGCCTTAGATGTAAGGACTGAAGGACTCAAAGTAACAGGTTTCTTGGGCTT